TTCCCTCCCCCCCCCCCCCCCGCCATACCCGACGTGTTGATCTCGCGAACGTGAGACAGGTACTGGTAACGCGTCGTTTCTGGGCGGCCAGATTCCTGTCTTCTGTTCTGTTCGTCGAACAATGAGAATAAGTTCTTGAACAGCTCCGGTTTCGTGAAAATGAAATCTCCCGTTGCGTCGTCCACGTCCGGTCCCATGTCATCCGTTATGGGACTGGCCACGTTAGGAATGGCCCGGAGGTCTTTGACTGTCATGTTGACGGCCAGTGTATCTGTCTGTTTCCAAGTCTGGCCACCCAAGGCGCCAGTTGCCAGCTTCAGCTCGTCGTTGGTGAAGGTGAACAGGGCTAGCCACGGCACCTTGTTGCGTTCATCCTGGAGTCCATTTTTCTCTGAAGCCGGGCTGCCCATCCTCTCCCACGGCAGATGCGGGTCGCTGAGGACTACATGAGGCAGAATGCGATGGTCGTCCGAATATCCATTGGGGGGATATACGGAATATACAGAGCCAGGGGGGAGCGAGAACTGCGGCGCGTCGACAAAGAAATCCTGCTTGGAAACGAGTCGCAACGGCTTGTCATCCGTGTCCGTCGTGGGCGCTTGGACGATTTGCGTAGCCACGATTTGATGATCCTCTCCGGCCTCCAGGCCAGGAGCCCAGTAGGAGTTGAGTTTCTCCTCGCCAGGCTTCAGCTGCGTTTCTGCGGGATCTGCGGGCGCTGCGGCTGCCAAGATGCCCTGAGCCGCCCTATGGGCCGCTGCACTTCGACGGGCATGACGAAGAGTGAGGTATCGGGGCGAGTTGATTGCTTTGCTCTTACCACGAGTAAAGATAGCCATGGCCGTGTAAAAGTCCCTGATGTGGAGTGTTTGGATTGACTATTAAAACAGCAGAGCGAGGCTGAAGGCTTTCTCCGTGATGCTCTGATAAGCGAATATGGAACTATCCTTGGTGAAATGCAACTTGCGTTAAAGAGAAAAAGGCAAGACAATCAAACTACCCTCACACCTGTCCATTTGCATATGTAATATCATACTAATATGCATATGCACTCTTTCCCCGCTCTGAGTACGCGAAAAAAGGAGGTATGCCACCACTGCTCGTATATGCCGTGTACGCTTTCTTATCGCATTTCCACAGCATCAACGGGGGGCAGTCGCCCAGGTACTTTTGTCCCAGGCAGGCTAAGTGTAACCTTGGGTTGGCAACAACTTCAGCCTTGACAGCGCGGGGTCATGCATTGTCTCCCGAAGAGCGGGATTACGTTAGGCACTATCTCGTCCCGAACAGCATGCATGAGACGCGTAGTGTTGGAGGAGAGGAAGTGGGCGAGGGCACTTGTCGAGTGCCATTATGTCTTGGCGCCGTTAACGTCGGGGAGCTGAGACGAGACGTCAGCCATCTATCGAAGGCTAAGTATTACTCGAGCCGACATGCCGGAATGCCGGACCATTTACTGCATGTCACCGCACACTGTCGCGAGAGTTTGCTGGCCGGGTTACGTATCGTGAAGAACAAATGAGCCATTGACTGACCGTGAACAGCTATTTAAAAGCCTATTGAGGGCTTCTGCCTCTTGCCTTTCTGTACCTTGGACTGATCCTTTCATGCCCAGAATAAAACAGTAACCCTTGAGCTTGTTACGCTACCCAAGAAAGGCTTTGGCTTAACTGTTCCAAAAACAACACACACTACCGTCATCATCATGCCAGGCTTTGCCTCCATCCTCAATACAGGACCAAATGTCCCCAATGAAGTGGCCATCCAGGTCTACTTCACGACCGGTTTTGACACCGTTGGTATGGCGTTATATGACAAGACGACTGATAGTAACAACTCAGAAATCGTCCAATCGAGCGAGGCCGATCCAACGGGTAATCTCATCTTTAGCTCTCAACTTGCCAGCACCATGTTGATGTCTTTCAACGCCGTGTTTGGCTTTACGAAGCAGCTGGACCCCAAGTCTCCCAAAATTGATGTGTCCATCGTCTGCCCCGTCTACCAGACCGTGGCAGCCACCGAAGGCACCAACACGACCATTGCGAGCTGTTCTTCCCCAGAAAACACCTGGGTCTACTATTTGAGGTAAGGAAGGCACCGAGGCGCCAGACCACTATGGGGAAGAAAATAAAATAAGGAACCAAGTAGTATGTGGCTAGTCACTAATAGATTGTTTCTTCTTAGTGGAGCGGACCAAGACTCCCTCAGAATTATTCAATCACAAGTCGGAAAGGAAATCACAAGTATCACATTGGAAGCGAATGATGTGCGAGTGGGAAGCTCTCTGGCCGCCTACTTCGATGTCGAGGAGCATGTCCCATTCGTCATCTACCAGCACGAGGTTGACGGAAACGACGACGTCAGGCAGTTGTACGAGTACAGCATGGGCAGCCAATCTTGTAAGGAACCAAAGCCTCGCCCTCGCGTCAAAAACTTCTGCTTGCGGCTAACACACTCGCTAGCTATCAGGATCCAAAACACGGACGACGCTGCGAAACTGACGAGCGTTGCGGCGGTCCATTTCCATCGGATGACATATCTGTACTACATGGCCAACGACAACGAACTCAGAGTCATCACCAAGGTAAAGGGCAAATGGGGCACTTCTTCCGCTGTGAGTGGCGCCAACATGGTCAACGACTCGAGCCAGATCACTGCCGTCTCTTCTGGTGAGGCCAACCATGTATTTTACACAGATAAAAGTGGTTCACCCGTCCACCTCATGTTGCCTTATTAGTAGAGAACAGGTAGTTCCAAACATTCCTCCTGTGGTCTAGTGTTGTTGGGCGCCTAGAAATTTAGTCCAGAATGAATATTTCAGCATATGACCATTTCATTGTGATTATGTGCCACCACTGTTCATGACACTAAGCTGAGGTCCCCAGAATGTGACCAAAAAGGCCCATCATGCGATTCTGGCTATGATGCTTTATCACCGTCGTCAGTTGTGCTGACCTCCTAGAGTGTCATCCGGGAATACTTCCTCAGTTTATTAAATAAGGGAATTGCCAAACTTAATCCGCTCGAATCACAGCGTTTGACATGTCTTGTTCAATACAGAACCAATATGTATTATGAAGTGTAAAAGGAATAATGAAACGGGCAACCCCTCATTTCGTCATCAAAGGAGCGTCGACGTACAGTCCATCAAATTGATGGTGCACCCACTTGGGCATCTTGGCCCACTGGCTTAATCGTGCATCCCAGCCCAGGGCCGCCATCCAGCTACTTACAAATACCTCCTGGACTTTTCCTGTACCTTGATCCCAGTCCGGAACCGCCCATTGCTCCCGCACCATCTCCCACTGCTCTATAGTTTGAGGGGACTCTGCAGGATCCCAATCCTGGTTGGAGCCCTCCGACTGGGGAAACGGTTCCTCGGCAGTAAGCTCTTGAAGCTCAGCGTCGAGGATATTGAAGACTGGATAAGGGTCGTTGGACATGTGTGGTGGCGGAGCCGTTAGACGGACGCCAGCCAAGAGGTCAATAGTTCCGCCGGAAGAGTAGAGCAGACTGCTAATGTTATTGCCGCTCTCCAAGGGGTCAGTACTAGAGTTATCTGTGTATTTTTAGTTAATAATGAGCGAATCTTGCCCTTGTGAGGCTGAAAGATCTTACATTCACCCCACAGCCCTGCTGGAAGAGACTTGGTGACCTGCTCCATTGTCCAACCCTCGATAACCTTTCCGTCCTTCCTAACAATGGAAATTTGCAGATTCGACACCAACTGAGACTCTCCCTGCAGCTTCATGGGCCTTGCGTAAATGGTCTCATCGTGTGTGATACGGCTTATGCTCTTGTCTCCGTCCATCTGGTCGGCGCTGTTGATGGCCACTTTGCAGCCGATGGCGCACACGAAGCTGCCGCCACGCACTAGCCAACTTTGATTTTGTTTACGATCAGGCTTTTCATCGTTGTTCATTAAGCCAGACTCGGCCAGGAAAGTGTGTGCCTCGTCTTGAGGCATATCGATGAACTGCTCGCCGTCTTCTTCGGCCCCGTCCTTGTCCAGCTCTGTAACCCCGGGCTCAGCCAGGGCTGCCTCTTCCTGCCGAGTCCCTGGACTACTTTGATCGGCTTGCAAGACGAGCTCGTAAAACTCGAGCAGCGATACGGGCTCGACGTCCTGCTGTGCATGGCCGAAATTGACGTTGAACGAGACAACTTTGAGGTTGACGTGAACCCGGCCGGCAAGGGGCGGTCCCCACATGGTGAGATCGGCTCCGACATCGACGGAGATGTGGATGTGGATGAACCAGATGTCGATGCTGAACTTGACACCGATATCCACACCAATCTCGGCTAGGAAGTGGAAGGGTTGATAATTGATCAGGAAGTTTGCAAAGGCATCGAACCACGCCTCGAGCGGTCCCGCGCTGAGGGCGGCATGTAGCCTACCCCCTCCCATGCAGGCTTTAGTTGTAATGGCGAAATAAGCCTCGCCGGTGACGCTCAGCCCACCGCCCAGGCACCAGCTGATTCCCAGCCTCGGGGGGTTAGGGTACCCCTCGGGTATGTGGAAGGCCGGGTGGTATCCTCCCAGGCTGAAGACGAACTCTCCCGTCTTGCTGTGGTCGGCGTGTGGTGCATCAAACCAATAGTAGAGGGCAAACCCTCCCGTCAGATGACAGTTGGGGTCGAGGATATACGAGTTGGGACTGAGCTGTGCCTCTGCTTTCATGACTCCGTACGCAAAGTCTACAACAATGGCGATGCCGAGCTCCGCGTGGGCATACTTCATGGGGGATTTCGGGTTCGGGATATCGACATTGGCAACCGCATAGATGCCCAGCTTGATGGTCTCTCCAAACTGCACCACGGCTACGGCATCCAGGGAGATCAGCTGGAAGGCGTCTATCTTCATGCCTACTGCGGCCCAGTACGTGCCAGGCAGAGGGTTGAACCAGCCCCCATTGCCGGGATCTGTCAGTCTTTGCAGCGCACTCATGGCACTATCCGTTGCGCCGTCAAGCGAGCCCGTATTGATAAACGGGAAGTTGACAATCTGATCGGGTGTGGGCACCTTGACATTGGAATTGTAACCAAATCCGCCAGATACGCCAGATATTTCTGCAAACTCGAGCTCGACAAGCGGCCCGTCCACCCGCGCGAAGACAAATACCGATATGAAAGAGTCTTTTGCGTCTTTGGCTCCACCAGGGATCGCCTCTCCATAGAACCCTGCCGCTTCTATCTGATACGGCTTCCACCCAATGATCAGCCCACCGGCATAGTAGTTGAGATTAGGGTCGCTGCCGTGGCGGATGCTTCCACATATGGTGAGCGGAGGTCGTTCAAAGGCAACGGATAAGCCTTCCAAGGTGATGGAAAGGTCGGACAGCTCGGGCTTCTTGAGCACGGCGAGGTCGAGGTTGAGGCCGAACCCGATGAGGGACAGGCCAACCGGGCCGAGCTCCAATGTGGCTGTGAGCATGATTTGTAACTTCTTGTTGGCGTACTTGAGGCCCAAGTTGGTGATTGATAGGGGCCCAGACTTCTTTTTGAAAGGCGCAGAGGCGCTGCCGCCGTCCGAGTCAGGCTTCGTCCCATCCGTGCCTGCCCCCTTGACTGCTAGCCCTGTCGCACTGGAAGCCTGGCTCTCAGACTTTGGTTGGGTCCTCTTGAAGTTGTAATCCAAAACCATTTTTGGGACATTGTTGTGGTCTTTGAGTACGACACAGAAGTGCGCTCCCGAGGCAATGATTACATCGGTGTCCTCGGGGGACTTGGACTTGTTCGAATAGACCAGTGGGTATTGGCCGAGAGATGCGTTGAGATCATCGACTTCAGACACGGTCAGCCCTGGCTGGGCCTGCTTGCTCTTGGAAATGTTGGCAGCGTCTTGTACCCAGAGTAGGTACATTTCATCAAAGGGTTGGGTCAAGTCCCCGATCAGCGGGATCGAGACCGACGGCAGCGCCACTATCCCAGCCTTGACAAGTCGTTTGGATTTGGTCGAGGCAGGCCAGTCGTTTGCGTGGATCTGCGCAAAGACGATTGTCACCGGGCTGAAGACTATGTTAGTGAGTAGGTGGAAACCAGCTTTGCTCTTCTGCACTTCTAGATGGAATTTGCTGCCAGAACCCTTGTCGCCATTGAAGACAGTGTCGGCCAGGAAAGGTGGCAAAGAGAGGTCATCATCGCCCAGCATACTTGTGAGGATATCACCGATTGTTGTCGTGTCCTTGGTGGCCCCGAGATCAGCTGTGAAACTCCACCCGTTTTGATTGTCAAAATGAAAGACGAGATCCAGCTCAAGATTTGCAACGAGTATGGCACCAGTAAAATCGAAGGAACTGCCGACGGAGCGTCCTTCCACGGCCCCTTTCTCATATTTGTACAGCAGATGCATCCGAGATATTGCAAGTGAATCTAGGAAGGGCGACACGTGATCAGCCGAAGCCTTATCGAAGAACTCGCAGAGAGTCGAAGCATACAAGCCATCGAGTGAAGCCTCTAGCTGCCAACCTTGGGATGAATCGTACTTGACGTCGCCGACAAGGTAGGCATTCCCCTTATGCTTGGATCTCTGGCTGGGAACCAAAATTGTGGTAAAGGCAAGGCAAATGTTAAAGTTTCTGCTGTTAGTCCAGCTGAACGATGCGTCCAGATCGATCCGGCCCAAATCAATACTAGGCACCTTGCCAGGTATATCGCCTGCGTCGTGGTCCTTTGATTCTATTGTCGTCCGAATGGTAAAGGTATCCTGTGAGAGGAAGATACAAGCACTGGAGATTTCCGTTGGCACGGTGGAAGGTATGTCTGGAATCTTGTCAACGCCAGGGATCAGGGTTACTAGATCGAGTACTTTCAAAGGCTCGGTGGTGAGCGGCTGCAGATCGGAAAAGCTCTCATATTGAGGACTGATGAAGCGCTCAGTCGAGGTTTCGTACCCTTGTTAGAAGAAAGTCAGAATTCCATGTCAAATGGAAAAGGCAAGGGTGGCAGTTTTGCTCACAGTTCCAAAAGTCCCCCACGATGGACCCCAGCTGGCCTGCATTAGCATCCCAGCTGTACGAGACCAGGAATGGGGCCCTCTGTGCCTTGTTGGCATTGCCAAAATTGCCAGATACTTCGACGTCGACCTTGACACTCGAAAGCTTCGGGGAGCCTTGCCCCGTTGAAGCTAGGATGATCCTGAGCCGACGGAGATGAATGTAATCCTTGAAAATGTCGTCCTTCTCAAGCAGTGTCTGAAAACCGTCCACTCCGCTACCCTGAGGTAGTAAGTCCAGGAGCCAGGCAATGATGTCTGTGAAAACATTTTCGTTTGCGGGATCATTCACGTTGATTGTGAGATCAAGCTGAGTTTTAGAGACTGCTAGCCCAAGAATTATGTCAATGCCAGTTTTACCTTTTGGTGTGATTGAGCCGCTGGTCTCGAAAACAATAGTACCGATTGAGACAGCCTCTTCTTCTGTATCAGCGTCGCCCAAAATCGTCTCTTTCTTGCAGATGAGCTCGATGTTGGTGAACTCGAGGCCTTGTAACTCGTCTGCCAAGAGTTTTTGGAACCCTTCTGTATCTTTTATTCCGAACTGGAGCCTGATGGTAGTGCTGAGATATTTGCCAGGAGTAAACCAGATGGCATTCCTCTTCTCATTGGCTTCCGTTGGATCCAACGTTGCTTCTAATCCGGTTACGAGATCTGGAAATTGTTCAATGCCATCCTCAAGATTGGCGAAAGAGAAGACATCCTTGATTGTTGTGTTGACTGCTTTGGACTTGCCGGGGTCCAGCCCGAAGTAAAGCGTAGAACCATCACTTTGGATCCCGGGGGGAGGGATTCCGCTCGCATTGGTGCCGAGGGAGAAAATAAGGGCATCAGGCCCAGAGCTAAACGCCAGGTCGTACGGAGTGGTCAAGTGAAATTCAAAGGACTGGACATTCATGCTGGTATTGTCATCGACTGTGATTGACAGGGCGCAATTGGCGTCCCAGTTGGTCATCCATGTCTTCCAGGCGTCGCTGGCATCCAGCTCTGCCACCTTATCTGGCGGCTGCTGGCTGAGTGTGATGCCCTTATCGGGTAGTTGGTCGAGAAAGGTGTTCAAGTTGGGCTCATCTTGGAAAAGAACCTTGGTGTTTGGATCCGGTCTTCTTCCTGAATCATAGGAATAAATGTAATACTTGCTAGCGTCGTTTGGGGGAGTTGGGGCGCCGAGCAAGCCGCCGCCAGCTCTGGAAACGGGAACCATTGATCGTCGTTGATGCGGAAAAGAGATGAATGACGGTGTATATGAAGCTGTATCCTACCAAATTTCGTACCGTCTATGGCACCAGGAGGTGGCCCCTATGCTATGAGTGAAGGCTCTAGTTCATTGTGCCATGAAAACGGGGGGGGCTGTCCACCTACCTGATTATCCGGATGCAAAAGAGGCAACATTGAACCCGTGGCTATCGTGATCATTGGATGACTGCGTTGTGGGGTTCATTGGAAGGCCTTGATAACGGCAGGTTCACACAGGACAACCTATCTCGGCCAAGACAACGCACCGGTGTACAACCAACCTGCAACACTGGAAGGGGGGAAGAAAATATTGAACGGCCGGGCCGTGCCGTGTTCGGGATGAGGGAGGGGGCGTGGGAGAAGATGGCAGCAATGGGGAGCAATCCGGATGCCCAACATGCAAGTAGCCGTTGTTTATTATGCCTGTACATATGCATGTAAACCGGTTATCTCATCACTGATACCGACCAATGTGAATATCCCCCAGAGTACCATACCGAAGTAAGTCATACGACAGCTGAAGACCAATATTGCGACGTTTAACCCCGTTTCACTGCGTCTTAATTCTCGTTTTCCGCTCCTCTACGCGGCCGAGCGGTGTACTTTTTCGGAACTATGGCACGTCAGGCGAGCAAAAGCGCTTTCGACGAGATAACAGGGCATATCACGATTGGAAAGCTTGGGTAGCCAAACAAAGAGGAGAAACTGCGGTAAAGTATTGGGCAATTGTCTCGGTATCTGTTCGTACCCGTTCTTTTTTTTTTTCTATCCTCTTTCAGGAACCCGGGCACCCCCCGTTTCTCTGTCCATTCAAGATTTGGCCTCTTGTTGACTGATTACCGTGTATGTTCCGCCAGGCTCAAGAGGCATCATACCAAAGAGTCCAAAGCATGGCCGACAGTAACGCCCTTCTCGTGCCAATTCAGCTTCAAGCATTCTCTCTTAACCCAGCTGTGTGTGGCACAGGACAAGACAATGACAAGGGAGCTCGTATTATCCCCATCACGCAGCCCAACTATACATTCCTGCGGCTGGACAACTTCGTTGTGCAGAGCGACGTTCTAAACCACGCCGATCTTCACAATGCGGCCCCTGCCAGCAGTAACTCGCGCATGACGGACCTGGGGTCAAGGACGTTCGCCCCTCGCCGGAATCGCCACGGCATTTACCTTCACTGGATTCTTCCTCAGCTGTATCGCTCCGGCGTGGCAGCTACGGACTCAGTCTCTTCGGAGCGTCTCAGCGACGAGCGCCTCAGGCAAGGATTGCCCGATCGCGACATCAAAGTCGAACCCAAGGCCGGAGAGGCATCGACTCCCGAATTCCTCGCTCCGCCAACCCGATGGATCGTGGTTCGAAAGCTCAATATGGACAGCATCGACCCCGCAGCGAAATCCCAGTTCAAGCAGTACCAGGCCTGGGTTATCGAAAGCGACTACCGCTGGACGCTGGATGATATTCCGCTCAGCTACGACCTCGAGGTGGATGTCTCGCCGTATATCGTGGGTGTCGCGGGCTCAGGCGACGAAAACGCCATCGATCAGCAAGCTGAGGTCTTTATCGGCAGAAAGACGCCGCTCGAGGAGTGGTCTGCGTCGACGGATGCTCAGTATGCGGATATCGACATTCTCCGCAGCGGTAACCAGCTCTTCGCCGACTTTCAGCTGCACAACACCAACGTCTTTAGCATTTTGGACAACTTTGAGTACAAAGGTCCTAATAAAGAGACGTGCTACCTCGATGTGGCCACTGCAAGCTATTACCTCTTGGGGTGGCATTCGGACAACTCTAGCGATCCGCTGTGGGATCCAATGAAGCGATACACTCATGAGCAACGTTTGGATGCCCTATTTATGACTCTCGCCGACACCGGCAACCCGGATGTGACGGAGGCTTGGCTCAAGTCAACAGATCCTGCTAGGCTCTGTTTACACGGCGCAATGTACGACGTCAAATGGGACCACAAGAATAAGCCAGCGTCTGTCCCGGCAGATGACTTCTCCCAACGCGTGCTTGATCAGCAGGTCCCCTCCTTCTCAGTGGGCACAACTCCCCTGGATGCGTTGATGACGTACTGCTCAGCGAGAGAAGGCCTTGAAAAGGGAGTTGTGGCGAAGCTGGAGGAAGATCTCCTGGCCATAGACTCCCTGCTGCATGCTCGTGATGACGGCGTCGAGGGCCAGCGCGAAGCCAAGGACACGGTCTACAACTGGAATTTCTCCCGCTTCAAAGGCGGAGCACACTTCTTCTTTGGCGGGCAAGACAGCCAAGGGCAGCCAACCAAGCCGACTGACGCTGCCATCGATGCTTTGAATGAAGCCAACCAGATACAGCGTATCTTGGATGCCTGCCGCCGTCTGGCTGATCAATGGCGCTGGGATATGTTCTCGACGTGGTGGAAGTTCGTCAGCACCGTCTCCAACAAAGAGGATGGAGACGACAAGACCAAGACTGATGCTGACGCCATCTCACAACGTCTGCAGGATCTCAGCAAGTGCATAGCTGAGCTGGAAACCCAGCTGGAAAGCAGACTTCATAGTGCCGACCATGTACTGGCCGAGGCAAAATCAGGGACTTTACCATTCTACTATAGCGCCAAAGACCCGACACTGTTGGTTGGGGGCGTCGATTCGGGATGGCCGACGGACTTTTCGAATAATGTCCCGGTAAGACTCCCCGTGCAGACCGTAACAGTATCGTCACCATCAAGCCTCCCGCCGGCTCTCTCCAGTCTAATCTCGGCCGTCCAAGCCGTGCTCCCGTTAACTGCGGCTAGCCAACTTCTAACAGAATTCTACGCCCTGCAACCCTGTCAGCTACCGCCAGATGCACCTACACAAGGTCATGCGTATCCTCATTTCCACGAGAAGGGTACCCCGGAGAGGCCATCGCGGGATAATTGGGGTGACCAGCAGCCATGGTTCCCGCTCTATGTTGAATGGGAGGTCGAGTACACCCATGTGCCGTATGAATTATGGGTTCTAGACGAACAGACTGCGCGTCTTTCGGCCAACAAGATGGTGCGTTACGGTGTTGATGCATCAGACAAGCCCCTTTGGCAGAAGCTCCAGGACCCCCATGACACTCGCATCCTCTCTGGGAGAGTGCTCATCCTCCCACAGCCAAGCTTCTCGCTCAAGAACAAAGTGACGCAGCTCATCTCAGATACTCCGCCGCAGATCTTGGACCAGTACCTCGAGGAGTGCGGCCTCGAAGAGTCTGACCTCCAGGAGCTGGTGGACAATATCGGCTCTCTGTCCTATCTATCCTGCCCGCTGTCCGGTATCACCCAGGGGCTCCTCACTCTTAGCATGGGCGCGCATATCAAGCCCGAGAATAAACAGTTGACTGACCAAGGCGAGACAGTTGTCGCAGTCAAGGCGGCCGAGTTTGACGCCGCCGGCCTGACCAAGGAGCGGATCGAACTCATCATGGGCAACTCGAGCGTGACCCCGTTCGCAGCCATGGTGAGCTTTAGCAACGCTGCATTCTGCCCTTTCAAGCCCGTGACACATGGACAGATGGCGTGAGTGACTGCCCCCTCCCATACACACACAATCTTGTTGCCGGTTTGGGGTTCGTGTGCGGCTAAACTGATACATGTCCAAATCAGATTTAGAAAGCTCAACATCATAGACAAGTTCGGCCAAGCCATCGTAGCCATCGACCCGCAGCCGCAGCCGCATAATCAGCCGCCGCCTCCTCTCTTTCCTGGCATCAGTGACTTTTACGAACCGCAGGCGGTCCTCCAAGACGGTACCCTCGTTGCCAATGCTGTCCAACCGCAGAATAACTCGGCCTGTGAGTTTATCCAGCTTCCACCGCAGATCAACCAACCTGCACGACTCAACGCCGACTTCATCATGCCGACTATGTCGATAGACGGTGGTGCCTCAAGACAGTCATCATACTGGCGCTCTGCCACGGAATGGGAGAACCCTATATGGGGCTGGATAGTAGTCAACTACGCCGACTACGGTATCCAACTGTTTCTGCAGGACGGCACGTTTTACGGCGAGGTGCGGATCGGAGGGCCTGGGAACGCCCTCGAGGAGCCCAAGTGGTCGCCCTTTGAGCCAGACAAGACAATCTCCACGGCAGATGCCCTCCGACTGGACGCCTTGATCCTGCGGCTCAAGAACAAAGACTATCTCAAAGGAGTCTGGGCCATGCTCACAACTGCCCTCGACAACTTGGCCCCCGCACCGGACGCCTACGCCCAGTTCCTCAGCTGCACCATCGGGAAGCCCCTTGCGCTGGTAAATATGGGCTGGTCGCTGGAGCTGGCAGGGCCACCCCTAAGTAACCAGAGCACGCGCACTGGAGAGCACTCATCATCTCCGGAGAGAGATCTCGTGGACGATACAGACCCGAACGGCGAGCACTCGTACGTCTTCCACGTCAAGCTCGGCGACAAAGAGCGAGAATACGACGGACTCGTCGGCTATTTCGACGGCTACTTGGAGCCCGAGAAGAACGAAGATCTAAACTACGACATGATTAGCACGTATTTTACAGGAGAGAACCTCGATAGGCCGTTCGATAACCTCCGGGCCCTGACCAAAGACACATATCCCACCTTTAAGCCTTACTGGCTCTCACCCATGAGTCCCAGCGATGAAAGCAAAACCATGGATGCGGATGTCTTCACGGACCGTCACAATGCGTATCTGCATCCATTTGGTGCTATTGTCGACCCCTTTACGGCAGTGCACGGCTACTCTTCTTTTCTACCGGCCAAGGCGCTCCAGCTACCAGCTTGGACTTGGCAGTCGGCCATGCAGAATCTCATGGCATTTTTCCACTGGGGACCTGTGACGCTCACAAGCGACGTAGGGCCGTACTCTGCCGATGACAAGCTGACCATGGCAAAGGCAAAGATGCGCCCTGGGCGGAACGTGTCGATACCAGGGCTGGGGCCAGGCGATGAGTGGAACTGGCTGCAGCCATACGACGAGGGTGGACAAGGCCAGCCATCATTTAACGCAATGGGTATAGAGAAGCGAGGAAATCTGACCGTCCCAGGGTTCCAAAAGGCCCCATACACGGCGATTGAAGGCTTTTTGCAATTGAGGAGACCGGTGATGCAGGGTAAGGGAGATGATAATACATAAAAGGGGTGAGGGGCGGACCGGAGGAAAGAAGACGCGGGTATAAGGGTTATTAGCAATCAGCCATGAGGATAAAGTAGCTCACAGTGTTCATTTTTTAGCTAGCTCCACGGTGGTTTTTTTTAGTTTAAATCACTAATCGGCTAGTGTGTTTAACGCATCGCGATGCGTGTACTCATAGTGTCTTGCGTGATTAGTCACGGTTCCCCGGCCTAGGTACGGCCAAAATACAGTGTTACCAGATGCCCTCTATCTAAGTCCCCTTTTTTTTAATTTTTTTTTTAAAATAAGTTAATAAGGGTTATTAGCTAGTATTTTTAACTTTAATCTGAGCAGTTATTGATTACGAGGAAGACTAATATAAAAAAAATAACTTTACGCTTTCTTCCAACATCAAGAGCCCTGTCACAATTGCTAGTCGGAGACGCCAACGCAAACACTCGTGAGTCCTCGCCATTGCAAAGCCCCCCGAGGCACTGCAACTCTTGCTGACAGCGGCCAAAGCAGTCAAATCAAACTTGGAAAAGAAACCAGTGACCTGACCACACAATATCACGATGCCCAAACCAAGAGTTGCCTGTTGCAACCTTCGGGGATTGAAATATATATTGACATAATTATTACCCCTTATTTCAGGAAACTTTAAACATGGAGAGTCAATTTTCCGATTTGAAAATACATTATTACCTCTCCCAACACTAACCGAACAGCGTTCGGAGGTCCTTCCGTCCCGTACATCAAGCCAGTGAACGCGCACACAACCATGAGGCTCTTCATCGTAGGCAGTCCAAACAGCCTTGACAAGTTTCTAAAAGACCTTGACGGGCACAGGGTGTAGATTTTCCTCCAGGATGCTAATGCGTCTCATGATGACTTTGCGGGCTCTGCTGACGACTAGGGCTAGCTGCGTTACCAAGAATTGTTCTCGTTCGTGGTTTTCAGCAGACCTATCAAGTAAACTGACGTAATCCAAAATGCACTTTATTAGTCTTGAAGGCCTGCCTGGTTCTTTAAGGGTGTTTTGGAGCAGTATTTCTCATGGCCTGGGTGCAGAATTTGTGTTTGCTTTGGGCAACTAAAATTCAAAGTTCATTTAAATCCCATATTTGGATTCCGTGTCTTAGCACTCTGCAAGGCTCAATGAGATAAAAAGAAAATGAAAAAGAGAGAAGACAAACTACCACTTGCACATTGTAAAGACTTCTCATCCGAACAAAAAAAGACTGACCGAGACAGGGGTCGAACCTGCGACCTTCTGATTACATATCAAGTATCGGTGGACACTATTCGTAGTCAGACGCTCTGCCATTGAGCTACACGGCCTGTTGCGCCAATCAATCTCCACTATTCTTCAACACAAAGGCTTCACCTGTAGGGGCCATCCCGTATTCTGAAGTTACGCTTCCCGAAGATAATTTTACATTGTCTATATCGTAAAGTAAATATTTAGAGATAGCTAGAGCTATTTCCAGATCTTCAGAATTATTACCTGCACCGTGGCGTCTATACACCATTTTTGGTTATTAGAGGTGAATACACTACTAGCTTGACATCACTACATGTACATATAATTCGACTCAGATAATCGACGCAAGAGCAACGGTTGGAATGGCTAGGGGACCAGGATGCCCAGCGCCCAGGTAATATTGATTTCGATTGCCGCTGAGCCGTATGGAAATGGTGTCAATCAAAGTTATTTAAAATCCGCCGTCCTTTACTTTTTTAGTTCTCTAGCGACAATCACCCGGACCACTTCGAAGGAGAAGTGGAATAAAAGCTAGCGGCAAGAAGAACAAAGTAAAGGATTTCTCTCTTTCTTTCCTCCAAGTTTTACTCTCATCTTGAATGACTCCTACATTGCAGAGGAAGGTAAGACCAGTCCTTCATAGGTCTAGTGAAACTACATCAGAGCGAATCTTTTATACCTAATTTCTCGAATATTCTTCACAGAGAGACTATTACCCCGTCTTAAGAATAATTGATGAAACCTTTGCTCCCTCTGTTATGCCATCTATCGGACGCTCTAGTCCTCCAGATGTTGCACCGTACAGGACGATTTCTCCTCGGGTCTCCCTTCCGATAGCCAGAGCACCTACACCTTGCAATATAAAGTCCTTCAAACCCCCCGCCACAATTTTGCTTTTCCCAGTCTTTGTGTCGGAGAAAATGACCGTATTGTCCAGATTAGTGGCAGAATAGATATTTCCTTGATGATCAATTACAAAGTCGTCCACGATGGTAGCAACACTCGATAAATTTGCAACTAGTTGAGGAACTGCATTTGGGACAGCCCATCCCGATTTCGTGAGGGGAACCTTGTAGATTGCAACCAAGTCGCTGTTTGTCCAATAGAGATGTGACTTGTAAATTTTGACTCCATTGACACCAGTCCTGAAGCCTGGTGGTGCTTTCAATTCTTTATACGCCCATACCCCTTGCTGGAAATGGCCAGCGGAGACGTCAAGTCTACCGACCAGACCGGCAAAGCTGTCGGCAACAAAAACCACGCCAGGATATTCGTCGGAGCTTGTGATGCCATTTGCCGAGACACTGGAAGGTCCCAGGGCAGCAATTTTTTTCAGTTTAAACTTGTCGGAATGCTTATCCAAGAACTGCAGAGCGAATGCTGTATATTCTCCGGGATGTGGGCTTTCGCCGTCGGTGAAATTGCCCCCCAAGACTACATAGGTCTCAAGGCCACCGATATCGTTGACTCGCGTAATGCCCACAGCAGCGTTGCTGTCAGGCAAAGAAGTAACTAGTTTAAGACAGGTATGGCGGGACTCTGGTCTCCTCACGGTCCAAACGTTTGACTGGGAAAGAAGCTGCGTGGTTAGAATTGCTCCATTTGGGCGCATGACAATATTTTCCAGCCATGTTCCGTTGGCAAGCTGACCCAAAGTACGAATTTGAGGGGATGTGGCCAGCGCACCAGCTGCCAAATATGTCGATAAAACTGTCGAGAAAAGCATTTTTGCGTGTATTCTTGCCACGTACGTAGTGATACGAGCTCGATGAATTGGAAGATGGGAAACAATGGCGACGAGAGAAAAAATCCAACAATTCTTAAAGGCTTTAAAGAGGGGGTTCGTTGTCAACCCCGGTGCTAATCTGGAGATACATGTCGGGTCACGCACAGTACACAAAGCACGCATCGATTGCCAAGAATTAAACAAATCTTGATGCCAAGAAGCTAAAAGTTCCAATAAAATGCCGGGGAGCAGCCTGGGCTCTTGGCAGTGACAGTGGGATTGACAAGGTGAGAGAGAATGTAGGTAGTCACATACCACAGCCTACGAGTAGCGCTGACAAGGCAATGAGCCGCCCGGGGCCTACTAGAAGTTCCCATTAGGTGAAAAAAATCCGGATGGACACCCGTCGCACTCGTCAGTTAGCACTTGACATTGTTGTACGGATGGCGTGGTAATATCAGATGGTACCATGACGAACTCTTCCCGCGCTCTTCCGCGATTTGCCGGCCGCCCTTTCTGACCTAGTGCCGTTTCTCCGTTTCTCCGATTGGCCCATGATAGCCGGGCAAAGTAAAAGACATGCAGTTGCCTATGCACATGCATACGTACAAGTGATAAGACAATCTTTGAGATTTTCGTAAGGCGTCTCACCGCTCGTATGCATGTGCAAGTGCTATTCCAATATACCGCTTCAGGTGTAGTCCCATTGCGTAAAACAGTATATGCCGCATAATCTAGACCAGAAAGCAATAAAATGCAACGGCATTGGCAGTGCCTCCGAAATAGGAGGCACTGCCCTGACGTGCTTGCGTATTGCGTATCTCCTTCGATCCAGGAACCAAGTCAAGATCAAAATTACAGAGCTGGAGATTGACGCATGGAACCCCGCTAGCTGCCAGAGAGGGTTTTATTTTTGTGTACGGCTTGTTTCATGCTAATTGATAACATCAATAGCAAACTATCACTGTCCAACTGTACAAATAAACTAATTTAATATGCTTTGTCTCAGCCGCCGTACTTGATTTAGACCGCTTGGCAAATTACTCTCCGTGCATCAGTCTAGAGATGAGTGGTTTTCGTAAAGGATTTCGGACGCGTAGACGATTAATTAGGGTCTAATACCATTTCTTTTCGACACATGTATCTGCTTTCTCCCTTGTGTAACGAGGCAAATCAATCAGAACTATAGACCGTTACATTTTCTAGCATACTACCACTACCACTCCCATCACTTCGACTTTGGTGCTTATCTACTTGCTCGATGCCCACGGCTCTCCCAGCATTTTCAAACTGGGCCAGATGTAAGCTACACATGACTGATTTAAAAAGATCACCCCCTCCTACTTTACTCAAGCAGACGTGGCGTCATGAATGCTTTTAGCACATCGTTTGAAATTCCTTGGCGGTTCGTCTTGAACTTCTTGACAGTCTTAATGATGACGTCGGTCAGAATCTCACGCAGTTCAATACTAAGCAATTGGTGAGCCCGGTGCTTAGTTTGAATCGTGGCCAGCTCTTCATCATCCTCTAGGAAGAAACGGAGCCATTCCAGCGCTACGTCCATGCTTTTCTGTCCTATTGGGAAAGCCGCAAGGATCTTCTCCCGCACAACATCATCCTCGTCAGTCAAGTAAATGGCTGATGTTTTCACGGAGGCGGACATTTTCTGGTCATCTCCCTGTAGAGAAGGCAACAAGCTCGAGTAAAGGAATGAAGGCGCAAGCTCTCCAATCTTCCCGGCATGCTTGCGCACCTCGGCGAAATACCCGTCAATGTCATACGAACACGGGATTAGGCAGGGGATACTTCTCAGGCTGGCCTTGTCAGCAACCAGAATACCAGGGAAAGAGGATGCAAAGCACCCCGCCGACTGGGTAGAGCAGCAATAGAACATGCCAACATTGTGGTCGTCGGTAAAACCTAGCGCTTCCTTGATGCTGCTGACGGTGATGTGACGCGCAATGGAAATAATATTTTGGTAAAAAGCTCCACCAATATAATCCATGTTGGAAAACATGAACGTTTTTGAGAGGTCAAAGCCAAAAGCCAAAATATCAGTGGCATTGGCAATATCATACTTGCGCACATCTTGAATGGGGAGGTCCTTGTCATGGAGAATTTTCATGTCATCGGTGAGCATGAGAATGAGCTTAGCGCCGAGAGTTTCTTGAAGCCATCTAAGTCATCGTGTAAGTGTGGTTACTAGGCAGATGCAGGCAAGATGCAGGGTTTGGGATACTTACTGGGTGAACTCGAATGGGATCGAGTGTCCAAGATGCAGGCTATCGCTGCTAGGACCTCGGCCTGTAAAGAGATAGATTGGCAGGCCGCTCTCATACCGATCAAGGATGAGATGGAGATCTCGGTGTGCAAAGACAATGCCTCGTCTGAGGTAACGATGAGGTTTACGACCAGTCAATTGCGCAAATCGATCTAGCAACTTCTGATCAACCTTTTCGGCATGACTGGTTGCGATGAACTCGTCATGTTTTGCATTAGTTGGAGCATTGAGGATAGCCCGATCTGCTTTTTGGAGGGGTGCGCCGTTGAGCTTGGTGGTGGACAGGACATCCACCAGCCTCACATATGCGCCGTTAGGGGTTCCACGAGGTGCTGCCATATCTGAAAACTTGGGGAGCGTGCAGACAGCGAAACGTCGGTTGATTGTCAGTAATGGTGGTTTTAACGCGGTCCTGAAACTAGCAAAGGTTTGCTTCAAAGTCCAAGACTGCACGCTGCCCCGGGCCTGGCTGCCTTACTGAATAATCAAATCTATTAAATTAATCCGTCAAGAGGTGCTAGAGTGACAGGGTCTTGTTGGCTGATGACATGTGTATTCTGAAGCCAAAAAATTCTTCTCGCGGGCTATGGGTCCAGTTGGGTGACATGGTCCCCTTGGCGCTGACGAGGTAAGACGATGCGAACAAGTATGCTCAAAGTACCATCCTGCAAGGATGCGAAAGACCTTGTTGAGGCCGTAATGGGTGTGTGGTTATAAAACTACATATGTACCTATGACCTTGGACTTCCCTTGGCTTGCGAGCGGTGAGGAAACTGCTACCTGGAATGACGAAATAGAACGTTTCCATGATAAGCGTAGCTAGTGCATGCTCCAATGCAGGCTGATTGCAGAATACATAAGCAGAAGCACGAAGGAGTCCCCGAATCAAGGATAGTGGTTACCGTATCCGAGACTAGAGGCGCCACAACCAACAAAGGGTGCGGAGTTGTCACAGCGAGCTTACGGCTGACAGCCTAGAGTAGCTAGGAACGCCAAGAGGGCCATTCTGCCCCGTAATAGACGATGAACGGTATGCCATTGGGGAGCTGTATAAGGTACGGGCCGTAAGCGCCACTTGGGTAAATATGAGTCTGTTAAACCCGCCGGCAGAGCTCAACGCCATTCGCCCGGGATTTTTGCCTTCAGACCCGCTTGCCGTTCTTCCCCCACATAGCTGAAAGTGTCTGGTTGTGGACTCAGTCAGGCTTAGTCGAGACCTCGGAGTCGTCGGGTAAGCGCTGCATCAAGAGGCCGACAACAGGGTACCCAAACGAAGTCTATTGGGTCATTATCTATCTGGTGAGCATACCATTAGCTAGGATGCTCTTCGTATAGTAAAGTACATATTGCATAGTGCTAAAATATTACATAAACAAGTAGAGCATACGCTCCACGTCTTAGTTAGAGGGGGGAGTAATGCTGATTCGGAGCACCAATAGAGTCTAGACGTCCCTATTCTCTGACCACCCATAGGAAGGATTAAGGTTTTGCTAGTCTCTGGTTTGCCGTATATATTGCGCAGCATCAGTGCCTGAAAAGCAGGTTGCGGCAAAGGGACAGGGACTGGTTTGCGCCACTTATCGAGCATGTACATTCACCCGGCCGCCCCGGCGACTCTGACATGAGATTCGCGCTTTGGTGGCAATCGTGGTCAGCAAGGGCGGAAACCAGCCGTTGAAAATCTGAAACCCTTCGAGCCACCGCTGCCAAAAAAATCTCCGCTAGGTGATGCCCATTGCCAGGCACTGTCGACTCCAAGAGCCCTCGGCCGGACCAATGCGCCGAGCCAAGCTAAGCTGGGCCGGGGTTCAGGTACTTCGTAACCCGTACGAACATGCGATCCAGGGGACCAGACTGGGCACTAACTACCGAGTAAGCTCGATTGTCAATGGGTCTGACGCTGCTTTGGCTCGTCGTCTGGGCCCCCAAACGGGTGGCGTTGATTACGGCTGCCGGGGCCAGGGAGGTCCCTTAATGAACATGGAAAAGGGTTAGGGTCCGAGGCTGGTTGGATGGACTTAAGCTTAATAATGCATTGCTTAGCATGAGCACTGCATATGTAATCTGGAGACGGACTTAAGAGTGGAATTAAGGATAAGGGGGATTACTGCCCGTCCAGTCTCAAGCCTAGAACTAAGTGGGCGTGGTCTTGTAAAATTAGGTTTAGTGATCATAATCTACTTACGGTAAGGGGTATATAAGCGTGCCCTATGAGAGCATCAAATTCACGCGACTTAGTTCCAGACAGGCAAACAGCACAACACGCTTCAGTATCCAGTCATGGCGCCATCACTGGTATCCCCTGCCATTCCCAACCACACCAAGACCTCCAAGACGATTGAAACCCGTCTCTTCATCAACAATGAATTTGTCGAGTCTGTTTCTGGCAGGCGTTTCGATGTCATTGACCCCTCCACCGAAAAAGTCAGCGCTTCAGTCTACGAGGCGGACGTCGAGGATGTCGAACTTGCCGTCCAAGCTGCCAAAGCTGCCTTTCCGGCCTGGTCAGAGCGGAATGCTGTTGAGAGAGCCCATTTCTTGCACAAGTGGGCCGATGCCCTAGAAAAGGCTGCCGACGAAATTTCCTATCTTGATAGCATCACCATGGGTAAGCCAGCGTTTCCTGACCGACTGGCTCCCATGGTACCCATCATAATCCGCTTTTTTGCCTCAAAGGCGCTTGACATTACCGGAGAAAGCTCGCTAAACTCGGCTGGTTTTCTCAATGTTAGTCTTAGGCAGCCGTATGGCGTTTGCGCCGCCATTACCCCGTGGAATGCCCCCCTCATGATGCTGGCATACAAGGTCTCGGCCGCTCTCATCACTGGCAATACCCTTGTCCTCAAGTCGAGCGAAAAGTCTCCGCTCAGTTCCCTCGTTGCAGCCAGATGCGCTTTGGAGGCCGGCTTCCCCCCTGGCGTGTTAAACATCCTCAGTGGCTATGGCCGTCCGTGTGGCGAGGCGCTGGCGCGACACATGGAGATTCGAAAAATCTCCTTTACAGGAAGCACTGCCACTGGCAAGGCCATCCAGCGAGCTGCAGCAGAGACTAACTTGAAGAGTGTCTCGCTTGAACTGGGCGGCAAAAGTCCGCTCCTCGTGTTTGACGATGCCAATCTGGAAAAAGCCGTCAGCGCCGCCACCATCTCGATCCTCATGAATTCTGGCCAGGTATGCAACGCCACCACACGCATCTATGTCCACGAGAAGCTCGCACAGGACTTCATTGACGGCATTAAAGCCGCAATGTCGGCTATGGGAGCGAGCGGTAATCCCCTGCACGAAGGGACCATGCGCGGCCCTCAGGCTGACAGGGCGCAATTTGAGCGCATCTTGTCTTACCTTGACCTCGCAAAACAGTCTGGAGTTTCCATAGCTTTGGGAGGAAACCGTGAATCATCTCCAGGGTACTTTGTTCAGGCCACTCTTCTCACTGATGTGCCTGAGGACTCAAGGCTTGTCAAGGAGGAGATTTTCGGACCTGTGCTTATCGTCAACCGGTTCACAGATGAAGAAGACGTCCTGCAACGTGCCAATGACACCGAGTACGGTCTCTGGGCTAGTGTCTTTACCAACGATGTAAGCCGGGCTATTCGCGTGGCAAAAAGGCTAGAAGCCGGCAGCGTAGGCGTTAATTGCACTTCACCGGTGCTAGCCATGGATATGCCGTTTGGAGGGTGGAAAAGCTCCGGGCAGGGACGGGAATTCAGCCGATACGCAACTGATTACTGGACAGAGCTTAAGACTGTGTATTTCGCTTACTGAGTTACCGCTATTCTAAACTAGTTGTTGTTGTTGCTGTCGTCTCACAGGCTGCTTCGGCTACCCCGACCATCTACATTCCTCAACTTGCCGTAGATCTACTTACCGATAGTAATCTAGTTCTCTCAAGTTTCTTCTAGGTCTAGAATCATATTCTGTATGACTGCATATGCACTTACGGTTGTCGCCCTGACCAGGCGCCTGACAGAAGGGGAGGGGTTCACATCCTCCGGCTTCATCACGAATGTATCAGTGACATGTCTGGCTTCTGACTTTCGGCCAGACTTCTACAATTCGACCATCAATGTCCGTGTTGCCACCTCCTTCCTAAACCAATCACGTCGTAGGCTGATGCGAGATCCATCGTGTTCATGCCCCAGCATAATTCTGCCTTGGTATGCCTGCCAACGGCGTTGGTTGATTGCTGGAAGGAGGAATTCAGCCAATCGTAAGAACAGCCGGACACACACCATAGGCTTGTGTCGTACCCATCGTTTGCGGCTGAAGCTTAACTGGATGTATCGAGAATAATCTGCCGCAGCTAGCCAACAATAACGCGCGTCGTGGCCCCTTTGGGAGCGGATATTGCGCCATAATCTTTTCCATTGCCGCTCCGACGGGATCCGAAGCAGTATCTACCTATGGTGAAAGTTCCTCCGATCTTTCGTAAGACTGACTGGCAGGCATGATTGACTTGTTGCGGTGATCTTGGTTGATATGCAAGCTGTACGTTGCCACGCGGTTTGACGGTGATCTAGGTGCGTCTCGCTGCCTGCTCGATGCTACATAGGCACATGCCATGAGGTTCTGAATAACGTGGGCGTTTATAAATTTGGAAAACACTGGAGGTCACTACCACCCTCAGAGTTACATTCACGTGGTTATACCTGCTCCCCATTTCAACTCTATAACTCGAGAGTGTTGCTACTATACAACCTCATCAAGTCCAGCTTTCCTGTCCACTCGAATCTACACAGCTCCAAGTTTCCAAGAGTGTTTACTACATCCATATACTTCAACATGTTTCCACTTCCCTCGGCAACCATCACCCCTTCCCTGCCACATGATGTCCCGGTGGCAGAATCATTTAAGCTGCCTCAGCATGCGCCGATCGACACTCCCTGGTTGACTGAAGAGCTCAAATATTTCGAGACTTGTCTGCTCGTTCTCGATGTGCTCGAGTCATTTGGGACTCACATTAGCAAGGATCCAGTCTCTCCCTCTGGCAGATGGGCTGGCAAGCCCAAATTCCTTGGACATGTATATCACTGGGTCAGAAAGAACGAGCCCATCCAGCTTACAATGCCGGCATTTCCATGCAAGAGTGTACGTATCTCATCTCTGCCAGTATCAAACATTTTGATCCTTGCTTACCGTGCTCTCTCGCTAGGCCAACCGTGAAAACAAGGTCCTAGGTCACTTACCGGATCTTGGTGAGGAGCTTGGTATGAGTCGCTTGAACGACATAGCTGTGGCCATTAAGAATGTCTACCAGCCCGGTGCCTTGGTCAATATTGCGTCTGATGGCATTTTATTTAATGGTCAGTTGCATATTGGGCCCCTCGGTTGAATCTTGTTTACTAACCCGCTGCAGACATCATCGGTGTTACTGATGAGGAGACTTGGGAGTATGGCGAAGAACTTCGCGCCATTGCCAAAGAAAAAAAACTCGACTACATGGTCTTTCTCTATCCTCAGGTCTTGATTGGCATGATGCCTGCCAGTGAGATGACTCGAGAGAAATACATTTCAACCGCCGGCGAATGCCGTGCCTTGCTCGAAGCTCGATACGGAAGCACCCTCAAGCAGATTGAAGCCCTTATCAAGGCTGACCCCGACACCAACTCAACATACTGTGGCATGGTCAAATTCCTGCAAACAGAATTGCTTGGCGCCCTTGCCGGCAAGAGCTACCGTGAACGCCAAAAATTACAAAAGAGCTCTGCTAAGAAAATGATGCAGCGTTCGGAGGCATTTACCCTTGCCATTCGTACCAATCGGGCCTTGGATGTTCGTCTGTCAATGCATCCTTCATCTGGAGTGGCCAAGCTTTCAGTGGCCCTTGTTCCTTCACCAAAGGGCTTTTTCCAAAGGTCACCCTGGCACAGCTGTGTTGCTATTGACAGCGAAGGCGGCTACCACTGTGTCCACTCTGAAGAAGTCCGGGACACGCATGAGCTCATGTACAAGGATAACCGTCCGTACTTTTTCATTGCCAAGGATGCCGTCCAGGTCGATGAGCCACATACCACGACGGTTATTGAGGCTTCAAATACTGCGGCGGTCATAGAGAAACCGGAAGACTCCGCGGCTCCAGCACAGGCAGAACTTGTTACGGTTGTCGAAAAGCAAGAGACTGTGACGGTTGTCGAGAATCCTGTTCCCACTGTTGCTGAATCGCGAGAAGCAGTGACGTTTACTGAGGAACAAGCTATTGCTACAACTACCGAAAAGGAAGAAGCCGCGACGTTTATCGGGGAGCAATCAATTGCTACAACTCCTGAAAAGCAAGAGATCGCGACGTCGATCGAAGAGCAACCTACTGCTACAACTACCGAAAAGCAAGCTGTGAGGTTTATTGAAGAGCAACCGATTCCTAACATTGCGGAAAAGCAAGAGATCGTCACGATTGTCGAGGAGCGAACTACTGTTACTCTTGACAGTCAAGATATCGCGACCACTCCAGACAACCAGCAACATGTCGTAGAGGCTCAGGTCGAAATTGCGACAGCTGAGCCTAACATTCCATCTGCTCCGCTGGCGGCTGAGTCATTTCCCTAAGCTGCCGTCTTGGCATAGACGCATGGCTCAAAAATGAAACCATACGAAAGGACGTAGAAGCCTATTCCTCAGTATTGCTGATCGCCACCAGAGTAGCTATACCCAAACCATATTTACAGGCAAAAGGGGGCGGGGCTGGTGCGTGGTCTTGAAATATCCAGCAATACTGAGGAAAACATACAAGGGTGTACGCATTGGAGTTTTGTTTATTTTTGCTATTACAAATACTAAACTAGTATGGCTTCTGCGTTGCGCCATTTACTGAGCTATCTCCTCAGGACATCACCCAAGGACTACCCAGAAGTTGCACACTGGTTAGTACGGGTACTTTTAGATGGTCCGAAATAAATAAGATTGATCTTACAAAGCCTTTCGTTGCCAGGATAGTAGTATTCTCGACCGCACACATAAGTTCCACCGTATATTTCGGGAGTGGCCCTTTTGAGTCATCGACAAGCGAGAGCTCATCAGTTGTGAAGTATGCACCTTCTTATATAGCAGTGTTTCGCGCATCACAAACTACTCCATGTAAAGCCATCGAAGAAACATGTTGGAATTTATGAATAACCGTGAAACATTCGTAAACTTATATCATGGATACACAATCACGATTCGCTGTAAGCAGAACTTTTCTGTTGGTTCTTGCCATGCTCTCGATCTGCCCTCTATACCTTGACCATTTTAAACCCAGCTTTCCAAGCTCTGACTAGGATAAACAAGGCACTCGAAACCAATGATGCAACACCACCGAATATCCAGAGACCATTAAAATTATCGCCGCCGCCACTAGCAAGTATGCCACCACCGCCCGGTCCGCCAACAAAGACGCCCAGACCGATGATGCCAAATGCCATACCCATTCGCGTACCAATTTTTGCGCGGTCTTGGGTGAGTCGAACAATGCAAACTGGAGGCAGAGCGATGAAGATTCCCGAGAAGAACCCAAAGAGAATGGCAAGAATGACGACGCTTGCAACGGACTTTGCGCCAAGCATGCCAAAGATGATGACACTAACAATCACAGCACCCGGACCAATGAGGTTGAAAGCGCCGGTTTTGTCGGAAATAGCATTGGGAATGGTGCGCCCAAAAATGGATGCCGCGTTGAGAATCGGCACGATGTAAAATGACAGAGCCGTCGACGTGATGTGTCTGGCCTTGGTGTAATACGATAGGTAGAAGAACATGGTATAAAGGCCCATGAAACCAATAAGAGTAGCCAAGGTAAAAACAAGAAACGGCCAATCGGTAAAGGCAGAAGTGTCGAGTAGAGCACGCGCCTTGGACGGCTTGACACGCATCTTCATGACCAAATTGGGGATGGAGAGTGTGGCCAAGGCGATGAAGCCGAGGACGCGGACGCTCCAGCCAAAGCCAATGTCGTTGATCAGCTTGTAGAAAACAACGGGATAGATGATGCCACCGATACTCGATCCAGAAGCCGCAAGGCCAATTGCGAGACCGAGTCGCGTGTTGAAGTAGGTGGGCAAAATGGCCACGGCAGGCACGTAAATAAGACCCGACCCAAGACCAACACAAACGCCTTGCGCCAGGACGACTTGCCAGTAATCAGTGGCCAGACTCAGCATCATGTTGCCAAAGACGATCAAGAATGACCCTACGAGCAGTAGAGCACGTAGATAGCCTCGATCGTATATTGGTCCGGAGAGGAAGCCGGTAAAGAGGACCAGAAAGGCTTGGATAGAGCCAATCCACGAGATGTTGGACGAAGTCTGGCTGAATAGAGTGCCAGAGCTGTAGAAGGTTTGAAAGGCTCCAAACGTGTTTAGGATGCCCCAGGTGTTGAAGTACAGCATAAAGGCACCAAGGACGTGTAGCCAAGCCTGGACGCCTCCATTGGGAACGTCGGCCGCGGGATTCGCAGGCGGCATTGTCGGCGGCGAGGGCGGGAGCGTCTTTTCCTCATCATCGCCCGAGATGTCGGATGTTTTGGTCGTGTCTGCGGCCATGGCGGCGATGACTTGCGCAACGAGACGTTTGGCTTGGTCCAAGAGAATCTACCAGTGTGACTGACGAGATGCTTCAATGTTGGTGGTTTGGTGCTCTTGTGGAAGAGAACACCAAGGAAGGAACAAAGCCACTCGGCATAAAAATCTTGAGAAGATGACGCGCGGACCCTGTTTCATCGCCAAAGCAAAAAATTAAAAAATAAAAAAGAGGAGGACTTGGGGCGAATTAGTCAGATCCGTCTCACTCAACAACCGTGTCCGTGCATTGGCTTGAAATGAGGTCGACATTCAATTCAATGCTACCTCGCGGGCGATTCGGCCGTAAGAAACCCCATTTTTTCTCCGTCTTCTCCGTCGTCTCCATGTCGATGCAAAGATGACAAGGCCTGGGCCCAGATAATAAGCATTCGAGTGGGTAGAATTGCCAAGCACCAAAACCCCCCGACCGGCTGAATGTACCTCCCGTGTACTTTTGAATCTGACCATGATGGCCACACCCCTTTCATCCACGCTTCCCTCACTCCCCCGGCAGATCGATTCTGGGCTCAGGTGCCAAGTTGGTTATTGCCTCAAGTGGGCTGTTGGTGGAAAAACTCTAGATTCAAGTGCGCCAACACGAGCAGGTTGCTCGGATATGTAATTCGCACTACATGCAGTCAGCAATGATGACTGCTGCAGGGATGCCGTGACGCAATACGGCTCAAATCCCCAGGTGCCATGTTGCGTCGCAAGCTTTGGCCAGTGGCCGGTTCTGAGGGCCATGATGAACTGACACATTGCATACCATGGCTACTTGCTTTCTATACGCGTCTAGCAAGGCGACGCGGCACATGATTTAAGGGCACTGAAACAATACTATGCCCTTCCAACTGTATCCCAAGACCCCTCCTAGCCTCGTACGACGTATACTATATGGTTGTTTCCAATCTGCCGCCCGAGATGGCGAATGGCGCACCCGAGCATTCTGCCGTCAGCCCTAACCTGCCGCCCGCTACCGCCAGTCTTTCGTACTGGCAGCGAACTACACGAGCATTCAAGTACTTGAATCACAATCAAACCAACACTCTTCCTACCGCTTCTACTCATGTCATTATCGGTTCTGGCCTGGCAGGAGCCTTGGTGGCGTACAATCTCCTTGAACGCGGGGTTCAAGGCCAAGAAATCCTTGTCCTCGAAGCTCGCGAGGCCGTTTCTGGATCTACTGGTCGCAATGCCGGCCATGTCCGACCAGATGCTTTCCGAAACTTCTCAGGCTATCAGGCCTTTCATGGGAGCGAGCAGGCATTAAAGATTGTCGCTGCCGAGGAGGCGAATCTAAAGCTTATAGCTGCATTCATTCGGGAGAAGCAGATCCAATGTGACTTCAACTTTACCACCACATTTGACGTGTGCCTGGGACCTGACGCCGTTGAAGATGAGGAGAAGAACATTAAAGACTATCTTGATGCCGGTGGCAATCTGGCGAGCCTGGGCGTCAAATGCTGGTACGGAGCTGCCGCAGAGGAGAAGAGCTTGTGCTCGGGTGCCTCAGCCGCGTATGAATGGCCGGCTGCGTCGATCCATCCTGTCAAGCTCGTCCACTGGCTTCTCGAGCACGTAATTGACCGGGGCGTTCAATTTTGGACGCATTGTCCGGTAGACAACGTACGACGGGACAGCTCCAAGCTTCATGTGCAAACCTCCCGGGGCGTCATCGCAGCAGACAAGGTGGTTCACTGCACCAACGCATACGCTGGAGGTATCCTGAGCCAATTGACAACCGAGAGACTCACGCCGTTTGCGGTTCAGGTCGCATCTGTCATTCCCTCTTCGGCGGCATCTGGCGACAAGGTCTTCAAGAGCACCATGGCGCTGAGAGAAGACGCTCGCATGTTTTACGGTTTCGCTCAGAAGCCGCTGGATGGAACCATCATTGTGAGCGTTGGTAGACCTGTTGGAAAAGGCGTTCAGGCCGAAGAGTCGCAGACGCCACAGGTCGCAGAGGAAATCGTCCAGAGAATATCCAAGCTTGTCGGGCCTCATAACGAGCCGCAAAGGTCCGGGGAGGGTCTGGACACAACTTGGACCGGCCTCATTGCTTTCACGCCTGACAAGGTACCTTATGTAGGCGAGATTGATGAGCTGCCTGGGCAATACATCTGCGCCGGCTTCAACGGTCACGGCATGGCTAATATTTTTACCTGTGCCAGAGGCATCGTCGGTCTGTTATTGGGTAGACCATGGGAAAGCACGCAGCTTCCAGAATGCTATCGCTACAGCCGAGCGCGACTCAATAAGACTGGCTAGTAAATTAGCTTAGAGAAACATAATACAGCCACTGTTACTATTTCTTGATGGCAGAAGCTGGGTTCCACGTTTGAGATGCTCTGATGGCCTTTCGGCGAGACGCTGATGTTGCTCTTGTTCAGCTGCTTGCGCCGCCTGTTCGAAAGCCAACGGTATTTCATGTCGCCTCCGAAACTGTTCCAAAATCTCATGGATAAATGGACGTTGAGAATATTTTTCTTTGACAAATAACAGCTAGAGTTCGCAGTCATGAACATAAACTTGTTCTATGGGGTGGAAGGAGCACTGAGCTACTGCGGCCATTTGGTTTCGTCCACGCGATACAAAAGCTTATACCCACTGATCTTGCCCTCCTTCATGTCCTTCATGCCATCAAGCACTCCAATCAGACCACCAGGTCTGACTTCACGTGGATGTTCGGTCCATTTGCCCTCAGCCCAAAGCTTCTCGACAATAGGGAAGAAGGTCGTGGCAAACTCGTAGTATGTCGGCTGGGCTTCCCAGTGCTTGCCCTCAAAGATGTATTTCTCGCCAGTGATACCATAGACGAGGAAGAAGATGGACTCAACGTCAGAGCGAGGAGCGTCATACTCTCCCAGGAGGTTCACGTATGTTCCTCCCTTGCTGCTAAGTGCCTCGGCACTAATCTTGGCAGAAGACTCTTTACTGACGGTGTCCAGGACTTTTATGAGCTTGTCGTCGGTCGCCTTGCGGATGTCTTCTCCCACGGTCGGAGAGTGCTAGGGTTGAATTAGCCATGTTTTACGGCGACAAAATCTCAGGGCACACAGAAAGGGTCATCATACATAGTCAAATACCAGATCGGCGCCGCGACTCTTGGCAAGGTCAAAATGTTTGGGCGATGCGGTTGTAACGACGGTGTACCCAGCCCTGAAGAAATAAGCGTCCAAGATTCGCACTGCGCCAAAAATGTTTGAAACTTACATCTTGGCAAACTGGATTGCAATGGTCCCAGTAGCAGTTGAGCCTCCATAGATCAGAACAGTCTTGTTATCGTCTTGGCTCGCCTCGGTAGTTTGGATGGACTCGAGTCCTGGGAATGGAATCGATAGGAACTTGAACAATCCAAGACCCATGGTGCCAATAGCACAGGGTACAGATGCGGCTGCCTCCCATGGTACGTGATCAGGAACACGTATGACTGTGTCGCCTTTGTTTATAATGAATTTTGCGAAAGCTCCCGTCTGTGGTCTCGCATCATTACCTATTCCATCGAATGGATATTAGTATTCTTGGAGTCACCACTGGCATAGAAGACGCTCGTATATCGTCAAAAAGAAAGGCCTTGTCTTGGGCAGAAACTTGACCTACCTCCGTGAGCAAAGCCCGCAACCCTTTCACCTATTTTGAATGCCTTTTTCACCTTGGGCCCAATTTCTTCTACTGTTCCTGCCCAGTCACATCCTACCAGCGTGCCATCGTCACCCGGTGCATCAAGCGTTGTCCAGTCAGTGGGATTTACGGCCACTGCAACAACGCGAATAAGTAGATAGTCATCAGGTAATGTTGGCACGGGGATGCGCTCCAAGGCCGCTACACCCGTAGCCTTGCGAATCAGTCCGTAATTGGTTTCACTGATGGCCATGGTGTATGCTTCAGTCGAGGTCAAGTCCAAGTATGTACTCCGTAATTCATTCAGGATTTCGGCCGCTGGATCGAAGAGGGGTAAAAGTAAGATTAAATACTTTAAAAAAAAATAGCATCAGAATCCTTAATTTGTAAGCACCTGCTATTGTTCATGTTGTTGGGTCGATGCACTGCATGAGCTGAAGCCAATCGGCGATCCTGGCGTTCCATGCGGGCCCTTGTTTTGCGTTCAGGAGCGGGTTGTAGTGCGGGGTCTGCTCACGTCTGGTGTTGTATGGTGTTACACCGGGCGGAACGCATTATCAGCAGTTCCGTCTTTGCTCTAGACCCCCAATACACGCTCCAGATGGAGCATTGGGCTCTCACATTTAGTGCTTACATTACATATGTACCATAACGGAACGTCAAGGAGTCTGGGTCGTCTCGTTTGCTTCGCTGTGCGCGCCTTGATTCTGCCCCAGTTGTCTCGAGATTTTTGAGTCGCCTAGATTGATTGGTGGATTAAGCGGTCGTGTCTATCAAGGTTATTGGATCGGCGAACATGAGGTGCTCGACCTTCCTGCGGTGGCCTATTATACTAATCATAGTGTGTCGTGCCGGACCACTGAGATACCGTACAGGTGTTGACGTTGTGACTTATCCAGATGCGAGTCAAGTCGGCCGGCCTATATGGTGTTGAAAGCACAGAGGCGGATCACAGGAGCAGGACTAGATGCGGGAGTCATTCATGGACCCTTAGGTTTACCAGTGTCAGCAAGTATGCAAAGCGACTATTGAGAGCCGAAACATCATAATGTTATCAGCTTGGGTATCAGCCCTCCCGTTTCTGCGAGTGAGACTTACTTCGGGTGACTCAACCCGGCGTCCACTATAAGCTCGTCAAGTTGCGTATTTATTGCTGGCGTGACTGGTACAGGGATCCATGAATATATTCCGACCAAGACAAGCATAATATGTCAGACGGCAATGAAATACAGTAGAACTTTTCTCTCCCGATAAGCGATACACCTTCCTGTCTCTTTTGTAAGGGTGTCGAGGACATGATGGCTCGTTCAACTTGGATCCGTTTGATGTGTAGCGATATTACCCATTGCATGTGAGCTCTTAAAAGACGTCCATCTGTATCTCAGAAGAAAAGAGCATCTTGAGTGCACTAGTCTTAGGGTCCAAGCTGAATAGCTCCAAACCTCATTCAATGACAAGGTGGAAGTCGGGACTTTGGCGCCATATCAAGTTACTAGGTCTATGCCAATAGTCGATATTCCATTTTGCTCTTGTGAATAACCCGCCAGAAGGGTTCAAATTGAAGAATTTCTTGGGCTACAGCACCAGTGCCATTGACTTTTCCTGCGCTCACACCTGCAGCTAGCACATGACCAACATGACACATATGACCAGCTAAATATCATCAAAACTAGTGGTTTTGGGGACTCGCCACTCCATACCACATGGGATCGCGGTTGCAGCATTATCACAGACAAGAGCAGAGACTGTGGATATGCTTTACGCGTTTGATAAAACCAAGGTCTGAGGAGAATGGCAGGCAAGGTAGTATTTCCCACGAGGCAATGCGCATTGCGGGATGACGGTTGAGCGGTTACTGTACCAGTTGACTTTTGGCATTTAGCCGCCGCACTTTGTATCATGAGATTGAATGGCAGTACCTTTGTACCTTTGACATTGATCCCTTCAATGTTGGTTCTGTGTCAAAGATGCATCCAGTTGGTTTGGCCACGTAAATGTGTCAAGGCCGCCGGGCGGTTAAGTAGATTGCCAACGGTGCACATTGAGCCTCTCCGAGTTTCCGGGATCGCTGCGCCTACCATTCCATATACCGCTTAAAACGGGTGAATCATCATTGATAGTACACTTGTAGCCAATGACTGCTAAAGTGCGGTCGAATTTCAGGTGTGGCGACGGTCACTGGGCGTGTTCATTCATGGATTCATGGGTGGGTACGCGAGGACATTGAACGATATGGATCCAACTGCCTGCGGCCCAGGACGCGGCCTGTTTGTTAGTCCATCTTGAAGGACTTCTTATGGTCTCTGTGATATTTTCTAAGCGCCCCTGAAGCTACTCATCCACATTGCCATGAATAGATATGGCCTGTTGGACAATACTGACATCTATAGATAGCTTGAAAGAAATATATATATAGTCCTGTTAATAACCCATGGTTACAAAATACTTTGCCATTCGCCCCTATACACAGATTGCTTCATTCACTGTTCATTGATTCAAAGATGCAAACACAAACCTCGAATCATGCCTTCTACCGACGCCTCTCGGCTACAGAAACTATGGCTTGCAGTTCAAACTAAACCAGAGCACGCCACAACCGAGTTCTGGGAGTACGTCCTCCGTCTAAAAGTCTTCCCTGGTAGCCAGTGGTCCCTTGAAGGGACTCCCTTCCCTCCCAGCAACCGCCCACGGATGACGTCGACGATCTTCGTCGCGTTGACTTATTGGTGAGGAAAATTGACGATGATACTATTCTGCTCTTTCTAGAGGCCAAAAGAGCCAATGCTACTCGCGACCAGATAGAAGTCGTTGAATACCAAGCTTTCACCGCCTGCTGCGCCCATCTCTTCCAAACGCAGAAACCAGCCATCTGGGCAATGACATGTGTCGGTTCCAAAGCCAGAATCTGGGCGTACAAGTGGAATGACGACTACGTAACACCAATTTTGCCCCTGGGAGATGAGCTCTCGGAAATCGGCCAATACGCCGAATATTCCACTCACAGTAAGGAGCTCGTGGAAGCCCTTAAGCACGTCAAGAAGAACCCTATTCCAGACAAGGCCACCTTTGAAAACCCACAGTCACCAAGGCCACTTTCCGCTACGCTCCCCGACGGATGGCATGACAGAGAGGTCGCCTTCATGTCCTCCGCCACGTCGTACCAGGCAGAAGCAGACCCTGGAACAGCGCTTCTGCAGCTCCCACGCAGCGGATGCGTTAGACAGGCCCAGGCAGCTGATACATATCAGGGCATGCTGGATCCCAACCAGTCTTACGAGATTACGGTTGAAAGGTTCGAGAACCGTGTATATCAGTGTCTCAGAGTGGTAGATGGAGCCCGCGTGAATGTGCCGGAAGGGGGGTGGGGTCAGTGTACCATCCTGTCATCAGAGACTCTTTACCCATGTTACTCTTGGGTAGGCGAATCGGGGACGCAATACTTCGCCTGGTCGTTGGGTTCTGAGGAGGCGCGAGGGCAGTAACGAGAAAATGGCGTCATCGAGACTTCGAGGCTAGCACTTTGGGAGAAGTTTTAGCCTTAACACCGTTAATCAGCAATTACGGTTAGTCTAGTCTCGTATAGGGAAAACCAGAATTCAAGTTCGCCTTGAAAACGAAAACACGTCCAATCTCTGCTACCGTGACTATGTTCTTGTCTGTCCGTAGCAGTAACCGTTGTTGCCTGAAGCAAACCAGAGATTCCGGGTCGTGTATATGATTGGCGACGAAAGCAGATGCAAGCGGGCTTTTCGTGGTCTTCGAATCGATCGATGCCTATGCGACACTGTCCGAGTGACCGCTGCGCACCGTTATTAAACTGCAATAGAATTCCCATGCAAAATCCATTGTCTTTGTCGTTGAACAACCTAATGTGGCTAGTGCCCTTTAGGGGGCTTAATGAGAAGCAAGCGTTCCGGAAAGGGGGGTTTTCCTCAATAAGTGGGCACCGGAAGGTATCAATTGGTAAATTGTCATCCTTTTGTGTGGTATAGGCACCGACAACAGAAATAGGACTCGACTGCGGAGCGTTGTATATAATTGTGGATTGGGGGGGGACTCGCTTAATACCAAGTACCTTGTTTCCGGTGAGTAGGTGAACCCAACAACTACATCACCAGCAAGCTTCATGCGTAACTGCGATAACTGCGATAATCAGCCTCCTATTGCTGTGAGGTCTCCTCAAAATGAACTCACAATCAAGCAGATACTGTCAATCATTCTTGCACCTAGCAAGGCGATATAGTCCTCTTCTGAGATTGGGATATATACCCAAGTGAGTGATGCTTGACGTCGTCGAGACAGAAGCTGGTATGTTGACTGGGCAGAAGGCGTTCTCCATGTGTGAGCATGAATAGCGTAGATTTCACCAAAGCAGAAGAAGAACGTAATCCCAGTTGTCTGGCTTAGTTCTATGGTTCTGAATTGTGTGGGGTGTGAGAGGCCTGCCGGATGGAAGGAGCACCGGTCTAATGCGGGAGGCGTCGGCGTATCCCAAGTCTGGAGTCCATAAATTATATTGGGCAGTTCCAAACGCAAACATCCGAACTGAATATCAGTAAGTCTCTTGGCATTTCGGGCCAGTTATAAGAAAGGATTATGTACCTTAAGGTGTGCAATGACCCCTTCAATATCTCTCTCTTGTAGTACGACGAATAGCAAGTTCTCAGTCCGCCAGCCTTGAAAGGCCGGGTACTCGGGGAGTCTCTCGACCTTCTTGATTCCCCAGGAATCAATTGTCAAACGAAGAACTGGCAGCTGATTGATGGCCTTTAAAGTTGTTAGCTGGCCACCCCGATCCCAAGAAGCAACACTGCAAAGGGGAACCGAGCGTAGCTCAGATGATAATATGGGCAATCGTTGGGCCAGCTCGGAGGCCGAGTTATACCGCCAAAATGGACTAGTAGCTGAATACATGTAGACGATGTGAAGCACTTCCGGGGGAAGCAATCTCATTCTTGAGAAGCCAAGGTCCTCCAACTTCGAGAAGTCTGGTGCGACCGTCGTTTCTTGAAGATGGAAATAGGGTGCACGGCGCCATGGAACTCGCCAGGCTGTGATAATCCAAATTTGTTCCAAGTACTTGTCCAGCAGGCAATTTTGTTGGACAACATCGAGGCAGTCTGAGTGTACAGTCGAGGACTCAGCGGACGTAGCACAGCGGCTGCAACCGGGTTTTCGGCATAAGAGTACGCCGAATGCATTGGGAGGACGGTGGCCGTAGTCGGGGAAGATAAATGGACCAATACGACGGGAAAACGCGGTCGAGTCGACGTTGCCTCGGACTGGAAATTTAATATCTTGGTTAGAGCTGAAGAGCCGAAAAAAAAGGAGCAAGAGCTGGCGCTTACGCAAATAAAATGGGTCACCGATTCCCATGAACCCGCCACAGATTCCGCAGTGCGGCTAGAGGCCGTAGTGATCATCAGCCGCGTCGAGGGGTGGCATCCTAAATGGCAGAATAATAATGGAAGTCGAACATCCAAGCAAGCTTCCGACCACGTTAAAAGATGGTGGAGAGCCGTGGTGGAGATCTACTAAGGAACCAGCATTGAAGCATTGAAATGTCTGGTATAGTGATATTCGCTAAAGTGGGCCTAACGGCAGATATGCAAATATACCGCAAATATCGGCAACGTGTATGTAGCCGTCTGGTACTTGACTGCATTTCGGTTAGAAACGCGCCTTAATTGTTATTCGATGGAACTGCTGTTTTTTTTCTTTCACGGCGTAGTTCTTTATGTGGTCCGCACATAGTCATCTGCCGCATTTCTTTGGCGTGCACGTGTCGTCGCGATCATATCATTTGCGAAACCATTGCCGGAGCTACCCTAAACGCCGTTGCTGCCACTCAATGCGTCTCAGCAATGGTATATATGAGTCTAGCACACACAGAAATACTCCTCTTCAGAGATTTAACTTCTCCTAGACTATGCACTATAACTGGCATTTTTAAGTTCTCTACCAGTGATGTTTCAAGCTAGAATATATGTTCTCTTTATATTAGGAATAGAATAGCAGACAATGTTCGCTGTGTTTTGCATTCTTGTATCCACGAAAGGGATTGAATTACCTGACCCGACTCCAAACCTCAAGACTTGACCGAGCCAACTACACACACAGAACTTCTCCTAACCCGTGATAGGGCCAAGTCCCATCTCTTCAGCCGTATAATCCGCCATTCAAGGCCGAGGCGAAAAGGGGATTTTTCATTTTTGCGTATTGACCTTATTCTAAAATTCATCCTTCACTCTTCGATCTGACGGCGGAATCAACCACAAGCCTGAAAATATTGAAGCAAAACAGGAAACAACCCTCTACGACGAAAACCTCGAGGTTCAATTTCTGCGCGAGAAGGAAATTGTCGATTGACCGTTTCGAATACTACGCTGTATGCGGCGAAAGAAGCAGGTTTGGGATCGTCGGGTCGAGCAGAGGCGAATTAGCAGGAGTTGCCGGCTCGATGTCGTAGACATCTGTCGCTGCACCGCCAATCTGGCCCTTGCGAAGCGAGTGGGCGAGAGTCAACTCATGTGTGTGTATCAAGGTTTGGCGCGATGTGGGCTACAACGCTCATGCATACAGCGCCGAATAGATGTACCCCAACTCATCAATGATGCCCCAAATCTCATCTTTGTGTTGCCACATCTTGCCCATGCTTTACCTGCCATGGTTATTCCATGCATTTCCAGCAAGTTTCTCCTCAATCCATAGTAGAGCGCCAAGGCGTGTTCGACCACGGATTCGGTGGTTTGCGCAGGAAGATTGCATAGTCCGATTCCAAACTCACGGAGCGCCGTCTTGTCTATTCTATTAGTCCTCGTGCCGTTGGCGGGCCACAAATTGAAGCCTTTCAGCGGCAAGTATGCCCTCGCGAGTGACCCGGGTGTCGGTGACGAAAATAATCGTGGCGTCCTTGATGCGGGAAGGGAGTTGGTCAGGTTTGGTCGAGGAGTAGTATGTGATGACATAGTCGAAGTCAAATTGCGCATAGGGTGCAAAGCAGTCGTCTAAAACAACGATGGTATGCCTGGTAACAGTGGATTGACGTCGCATAATTTCGACTTGAGGACGGTGACCACCATGCAGTGTATTGTAAAGCCAGTCGTGACAGCCGTATAACTGGATTGCATTAGGATGAGGGCACCAATAAAGTAACCCGAATTGGAGATGGCACAGCGACGATAGGTGATCTACAGTCGATTACTGGTCTTTGACTGGAGGCGCTATCAAAGTATAGTTACAGCTCTCTAGTCGTAATTAGTTGATATATTTACAATCAGCTGACATCTTTTCAACTGGTATGCCGGGCGCAATTAAATTAGCCCCACGAGTATGGAGTATATATATTAACTAGGCTCAACCGTGTCAAAGGTCCATACGATCCGAGATATTGGCACTTATGGGCACTTGTGGGCGGTGCGAGAAGTTCTAGATATACATCACTTGACGTATAGGAAGTGTACGGAGGACCCGAAACTGTCCATCTTATTGCTGACTGCCTCAACTAGCCACTACTTAATACATCAATTTCCCACGGATACCCATAAAATATCTGGGTATGCAAGGACACCCACGGGCACTCCATTTTACTAGACGTCGGATCCTAGCACCTAGTAATAAGTCTGGTACGTGTTGAGAGTATTTCTCGTCAGGTCATGGACTGGCGGTCTGTGCTGAGTCTCTCCGTCAAACATGCAATACAGTAAGGTCATTCTGGCATGATGAGTACCGACGCCACTTCAGCGTCTTCAAATCAGCGCCGCGCTTGGCAACACTTGGCAGGGTGTCACTTCGGAATATGCCATCGACAGAGGTCAGGGATCCCTGGCACGCTCGCACCCTTGACAAGTAAGGCGTCGTCCCAACACGTTCCCGGTGGGTCAGGGCACTTTCATCTCAACAAGAAACTTACCAAACCCTGGAAACCAGACCTATCGGGGCTTAATCGCGTGTGTGGTCTGACTTCATACCTTGCTACAGCCCTACCAGTACCGCAGGGGCGGAAATACAATTCAGACCCTGAATGTTTA